AGCACAAGCGATACCTGCGTGAAGTACGACGCAGTGTTTTGGGTGCTTTATCACTAATTCATTGAGGTTATCGATGTTTCGCAATGGAGTTGTTTCGTTAACACAAGTGGGATTCTTCTACTTCTTCCACTGCGAGTCAGTCTTCATAAGCACTGCGAGTAGGTGCGAGTTTGTCAAATTTGGACATTTGAATTCTTGAGTTTTCGGAATTTGAATTTTCAATTTCAAGGTTTGGAAGCTCCAGGTTCATATTTGAAATTGAAGCCATTGTTTGCCTGTAATTGAAGGCTGTCATTAGGTCTACTACAGATTCACCGTGATTCGCAGTGCTTCAAATGCGAATGGTAATTTTCATACCGTGCGAGCGGCGTGCCATTATCGTGTGGCGCCCGTCCCATATACTCACGGCGCGCGTAGATACCATCTACTCGGGCACGCGCGCCATTTGATGGCCGGCGGCGGGGGACATGAGCGGCCGCACGCATAAGGCGCGCGCGCCGCCGCAGCGAGTGTCTGAGTGCACGCTTCCCTCGTAAGTAAAAAATTTGGTAGTGACTTCGAAATTAGCCTGAAAGTAGCCAGCCCGCAGATGCAGTGGTAGAGAAGTGTAAATTTTTTTTAGCGAAAAAGTTGCTGCGGCGCAACAGGGTGCGATCAAAAAACGTGTCACAGAAACTACTTACAATCGTTTATTTACCCAAGTATAATGTAGACAAATCCCGTTTTTAATTTTTTGATTATTTCTGCTGCTATTCTGTTGTTATCTGGAATTTCGCATCTTAGTTTGGATCCAATTCATTAAACAAGAGCATTGACTAGCCTCTTCTCTATATTCTTGTGATTCTCTTCAAACATAATTTTTCTTGTTAGGACGAAATTTCAAATCCAAGGTCCATAATAACTATGTAATCTAGAAGAAGAGATCGTGCCTTACACATTAATTTTATACTATCACTCTTGAGGTACAGTTACGGTCTAAAATCGCGCTCAAACGTAGCAGCGTATCGTCGATAATCTTGTGGCTGTATCACCCGTTTAGGCCAAACTTTTTTAGTCTAGTTTTCGAAGTCTCGCCTAAATGTAAAAAGAGGAAAACTATTAGGTTGTCCCGAAAGTTTTGTCGGTTTCTTTTATCAATCACTAAAACTCACAGATTCAATTCATAGACAGCTTAGGCACCATCCAATTCAGACTTTTATCCTCTTTCTTGCTGTCATACTTGCTTTCTGATCTATCCTGTCTTTGCAATGTTATCGCCATGGCTTTTTGAGCAGCCCAGCAGCAACGCCAAATCTTTCCTGATCAGAATTCTTTATGCTGATATTTTCAAAGAGCGGTGGCAACTGTTTTGTCGAGCAAACCTTTGGCTACATTTTGTCCACTTTAGATTACATGAATCGCATTTAACAATTCCGTTACGATTATTTATTCAATGAAAACCGCGGCTTTTCAATTAAGTTTAACACGTAAAAGACCAAAAATTCCAAAAAGCTGCTTTTTCGAAGCGAATCAAAGTGTTACGTTGCATAAATGATGTTTAGTAAAAATTATGTTTCAATATGGAAAAACTATAAAAGCTTTCGTGTTTTTTATGCAGTTGCGTGTTTCATGAATTTGCCAAAAATCGAGACCTCCGGAGAAATAATTTTTTGAAGCTAAAATCAGCAGATTAGGAGAATCTAAAAGTACTAACTTGTAGTACGAGAGTTGCTCTATTTGATAAGTAGCTGATTCTTTTGAAACTTTGTAATGAAATTTTTAAAAATTAGCCTAACTTTGGGCAGGTAAAATTGAGTGAGAATTTTGGCAATTATCAAAAAAAACATGCAAGATTATGGTATAAAAATGTATCCATAAGAAAGAGAAGGAAAAGCTGCATCGAATTCATGTTGAAGCTCACTCAGGTCTTCATTGTGGTGGTTTTACAGTGGTTTGAAAAAACCGACAAAAGATTCGGGACAACCTAATATAATTTTTTTATCTGTGAGATGTTTTAGAAAGCAAACTAAGGGCCGCATGCAGAGGTGCGATATATGGAGCCGGGCCCCCCAAAAGTAAAGGTGGTAGTGCCGGACACCCATTTTCCAAAAACGTCGACCGAGGGGGGGGGGAGACTTCGGATAATTGAAGAACTTTTACCCAACGGTCTCCTTGAGGGCCAACAACTGTAACCTAACGGCCCCCTCTAGAGCCACAAATACGATGAGTACAGCGGCATAAAAATTAAAAAAAGAGAAATAAACGTGTTAATCAAATGGTCTATTTGTAAGTAAAACCCAGCTAGACGTTACGTATTTAATTAAGTAAATTTTGTTATAACGTACTGCGAATAAAGGAGGTCGATCTAGGCAGTAACCGCCGAGAACCAGAATTTCGAATGATAAAATAAAGAAAATTCGTGAAAAATCATTCCACTGTTACAAATCTGCTGGCTAAAGACCTCCGCAGTTGCGACTTCATAGGTTTTGAGGGTAGTTGTTCTACCAGACAGTGAAAAAATCAGTTTGATTTGAGGATTGGCTGCCGAGAACGAGAATTTTGAAAAACCTCAAAATCTTCTCAATTTTAGGTTGCTTAATGACAACTGACATTTAAACTCTTATAAATCCGGACTTTGAAGGTGTGTGATGTTGCGACTTCATAGGTTTCGTAGGGTGAGGTTTGCCCTATCAGAATATGTCTCAAATGTACCGATCCATTAAAACATTGTCGAGATCCAGGCTCTTAAAGAAGCAGGTAAAAAACCGTTTTTCAAATCATAACTTCTTCAGAATTGCATAATTCATGTTGAGACTTCATAGGTTGGATTCTCCTCATCAAGAGCTTTCAAATGATATATAATATGTGGGGGATTCACGCCTCCCACGGCATATGCCCGGGGGTAGAGTACCTCTCTTCACTAATTCTCCACTGGCGGCCTCCCGCCAATACATTGAAATGGGCGGGGTGGAGAATTAGTGAAGAGGAGTATTCCACCCCGGGTTAGAGCCGCAAGAAACATTGAATCCCCCACACATTATATATCATTTGAAAGCTCTTGATGAGGAGAATCCAACCTATGAAGTCTCAACATGAATTATGCAATTCTGAAGAAGTTATGATTTGAAAAACGGTTTTTTACCTGCTTCTTTAAGAGCCTGGATCTCGACAATGTTCCAATGGATCGGTACAGTTAAGACATATTCTGATAGGGCAAACCTCACCCTACGAAACCTATGAAGTCGCAACATCACACACCTTCAAAGTCCGGATTTATAAGAGTTTAAATGTCAGTTGTCATTAAGCAACCTGAAATTGAGAAGATTTCAAGGTTTTTCAGAATTCTCGTTCTCGGCGGCCACTTTCAAATCAAACTGAAACTTTCACTGTCTGGTAGAACAACTACCCTTCAAAACCTATGAAGTCGCAACTGCGGAGGTCTTCAGCGAGAAGATTTGTAACACTGGAATGATTTTTCACGATTTTTCATCATTTTATCATTCGAAATTCTGGTTCTCGGCGGTTACTGCCTGGATCGACCTACTACATAGATATATGCTCTTAATACTTTCTTTTACATTCCTTTTGCTTATCCTTCTTTTGAGCTTTAGCAAAAAAATTTTCAAACCCAAAAGTGAAGGTGTTACCCTGTACCAGCTCAAAAGTGAAGGTAGGCGGAGAATCAGCTCCGACTATCGCACCTCTGGCCGCATGCACTAACATCCCCGCTGGAGAGAGGATTGCAGCTCAAAAGAAAGCTTCATATTCTGAAGCTCCAGATATCTGGATTTCACGTTGTGTACCTATCCGTAAGTATTCCTACTATCCTTCACTATGAACATGTTGAACAAGAGCGAGAAGCTGTACGAACCGTATTTTTCAGCTTTTGTAGGATCCCAGATGATCCCCGGCGCTTTTCTTCAAAGTCATTTTTTTTCTCCGAAGTAAACGAAACCTTCCAAAGTTGTACTGAACATCTAACACAACAGCGCTAAGCATGTTGCTGATGAGAACAAATGAGTTTTAAAAAAACGAATTTTTCGGTAAACTCCAGATTTCGACCTGTGGATCATCGAAAATTTCATGACTTCGAAACATCACTTGTTCTTATCAGTGACATGCTTAGCACTGTTGGATTAGATAATCTGCACAACTTTGGAAGTTTTTCGTTAACTTCGGAGAAAGAAAAATGACTTTGAAGAAAAGCGCCGGGGATCATCAGGGATCATACAAAAGCTGGAAAATGCAGTTTGTACAGCTTCTCGCTTCTGTTCAACTAGTTCATAGTGAAGGATAGTAGGAATACTTACGGATAGATACACAACGTCAAATCCAGGTATCTGCAGTTTCGAAATATGAAGCTTTCTCTTGAGCTGCGATCCCCTCCCCGCGGCAATGTTAGTACATGCGGCCCTAAAAGACAGTAATCTTTCTCTGTACCCTATGAAAGTGTTGAAACGCACTCAATAGGACCATCCCCTAGTAATATGGGTATATTTCCTACAGTGACGTACGAGAGGGGAAGCCCCCCCCCCACCCGCCCTCCTCCAAGCGGAAAGCTGAGACCGCCACTGCTCCTTAGTTAACAATTTACTACGCCATTGCATATGTGGTTGAGATGCCATTTGAAGAGCCTGAATCTCAACAAATTCGCGCACAAACAAGTTGCAAACTTGCTGACTCTATTTTTGGAAGTGAAAAACTTTCATCAATTTTTTCAAGCTGACCTCCATTTGCAGCCGAATCACCGGTATGATGATTTACTAGCAGGCCTACATGCACGTAAAATAGTTGTACTGTGCATGAGATCAGTTTCTGTTTCAAAAATCTTTGCATCTCAAGCAGTCATCAAAGTCATCAAGCGATTGTGACAAAAATATGGAGTAAAATGAAAATTGTTTAGGTTGAAAAGTAATCTAATGTGTGGAGTCCATCATGTATACCACGAAGAAGACGCAACTTTTTGACTATTGCTCCTGGCACTTTTCAGATGCTCCACTTACAAAAGTTTGAGACTTTACCTCTGTTTTCTTCTGAGGACGTTCTTCAATAGGCTCGAGGGTCGTGACTGTGAAGGTGGGAACTTGTTCACAGATTTCACAGGCGTTTTCTGATTCTCCACATTGATCATCGGTTTGGGTCTGTGCTGTCTGAAACAAATTTCATAGAATTGCCGTGCTTGTAAAGGATGGGCGCCTACCTCATCTTTAGTCTGAGCCTGCGGATCATGTAGTAAGTCAACCGAAAGAGGTTGGAAGAGTTGATTTATTTCCGAAAGGGCCGCTTGTGAAAGCCTTCGCAATAACCTCTTGCTCTAAACAAAGCGGAATGCAGATTGATCGTACGCAATTTCAGGCAAAACCAAAAATCAAGCAAAGGGTTCGTAATGCTCTGCTTTTTGCTGAAAGTTCGACAAGTACAAAGCTACAACTCAATAGAAGTAGGAATTCTCCTGACTTGAACAAAGGACTTCGGTACGGTTCGAAATCAGAACTGATCGGGGACGGTACGCATCAATCTCCCGTTTTGAAAGCGGGCGATCATTTTCAATACAAAATGATCGCCCCGCCGAGTTGGGCGCCCGACCCGTAATGTAAGATTTTTATTGAAAATGATCGCCCGCTTTCAAAAGGTGAGATTGATGCATACCGCATCTGGTCTTTGTTTATATTAGGTTGACAAGGAAATAATGTCGTTTTTTGGGTTTTTTCGGGTAAAATTATATTACTCGAGAACTATAGCACATCTGAGGCCAAAATTTTATGGTTAAAGTTACGTAGCTTTGTAGTATACAAAGGCATATGTGGGAGGGACTCACTACTATTGGGGGCGGAGTCTGCCATTTTCCATTCTTCAATTTTTTCTTGGTTTCTAAGCGTGAAAAAAATATAGCAAGTGCACCCATGGTTAAGTGCATGTGTTTTTGACATGCAGGAGCAAGTGGGAGGTTCGCAGGATTTTCTAGGGCGAAAATCCAATTTTGGCGGCTACTTCTATTTTGTCTCCGACGTTCTTCTCATTTTTATTACCTTTCTTAGAAGCTAATGTCTGGATTGTTGTGGTTTCAGGCGAACGAAACACAAGAACGCGTTAACGGAAGAGAAAAGCACATAAAATTTGGATTTTCGATTAACCCCCTCTCACTCTTCACTCCTCTCCTCCTCTCAACTCGCCCCCCTTCTCTCTTCTCAAAGACCAACAAACGAAAAATCCTGAGAAGCAGTCTGTAGCATATCTGATTGTAAAACGGTTAATGCCAACGATTTTAAGTTACAACGTAGCGTTGCTGAAATGCGGAGAGAACGAAACTCAACAATTTTGGGCCAGTGTTGCACATGGTGCATCACAGAGTTTGCGACTCTCTCCTGCTTCGTACAATCGGTCTCCTTCCAATAAAAGTATGCCATCGTAAAGGCACAAGTCTATTGTCCAAGATACCTTTCTGGTCTTGCGCCAGCTTATTTTATTTGGGCGGAGGAGTGGCAAACAGTAAATTACTGCAAATCGGAATTGATGCGGGTTGCCGTCGCGTGCGACAAAACTTTCGCGCGGTTCGTTGTTGACTTGGGAGAATCGCATTTTTAAGCACATTCCGCTCGTTGCGGGGTAAAGCAGGATATAACAGCTGATTATGGAACAAGCTATGTTTTGGAAAACAAAAACTCTTCCTGGTAATGGTTATGTGAGAAAGATATATGGCATGAGTGTGAGCTTAAAATTCATGGATTTGACTATTTTTTGGTCTATAGGGATTATCTAGCACGCTGCTTGTGAGCATCGTGTTAATTTTGCAAGCAAGCGCGATCCTCTTTCCACAGTTGCTATATGGTGATAGATCGCAAAACGCAAATTTAGCCAAAACTATAGTGCGTTAAGCACTTGCCACAATCGAGATCACAATTTGATCAGGCTGCTAAAGAAGTCCTCTACACGAAGTTTCGAGCAGATCTGAGATTTTCACTCATTTACTGAAGTGCTGGACATAATTATAAAGCCACTCTAGAAATCGTCGTAAATTTCGTTCTTGTCAATGAATCTGACTGAAACTTTGCTGTATTGTGCGCATGTCAACACCCCATGAAAGCTCAAAACGGCTTCCAGTCTTGTTGAGTTTGAATGGAGAAAAACGAAAAAATTCGAAAAAACCTTCTTTGGAAGCTGGACAAAATTATAAAACCACCTGGTTTTTCTAGTCACTATCGCATTCGTTGACTCTCAAATTTTTCTTGTACAATTACTTACCAAAATATGAAACATTTGCAACACCTACGGCCTGTCATCCCACTCAAATAGAAGCGATCACTGCATTTTTTGCTTTTATAAGCACCAAAAGTCAATCTGCTTCAACAAACAACTGGTTTGAAGAGTTTTCAAGCTCTTGTTCACTTCAAATAATAATCGTGGAATCTACTGACACTTCTGGATAGATGAGGTAAAGAGCGCTTTCGTAAACTCTGCGTAATCGCTGATTTTGACGGACAGGCTTCAACCTCACCATAGGATTGACTCACTTTTGCACCGCAAAACTCAGTTTGCAATGCCCACGATGCTGAACTTGGTTTATTACATTCCCTACATTGGGATGCAGCTTTCGCAACAACTTTCAGAATTTCCCTAATGATGCGGTAGCGATTAAGACCTGAGATACTTTCCGCGAAATTTCCCTGCGAGCAGAAGATTCGATACAACCCTAGATCCCCTTATTTCCCTCTGTTTTTATGTTATATCTCACCCGATGAATGAGATTAGCTAAGATTTTGAAGTTTTAAGCGTCTCCGGTTTTATCTCGTGATCTGAGTTGGCTGTGATTGTACAGGGTGCTCCACTCAACATTCAGTGGATGTCAACTGCGGCTGAATCAGAATGCTCAATCCCGAAATTTTTTTCCAGTTATGCACACAAGTTCACTGTTGTATGGCTGTCGTAATGGCTATTCTACAGTATTTTCTGTGGCTTGAAAATCGAGTTTTGTGGTGCAAAAGTGCATCAACCTTATGGTGAGGTTGGAGCCTGTCCGTCAAAATCAGCGATTACGCAGAGTTTACGAAAGCGCTCTTTACCTCATCTATCCAGAAGGGTCAGTAGATTTCATGATTGTCATTTGAAATGAACAAGAGCTCGAAAACTCTTCAAACCATTTGTGTGTTGAAGCAGATTGACTTTTGGTGCTTTTAAAAGTAAAAATGCAGTGATCGCTTTTATTTGAGTAGGATGACCATAGGCCGTAGGTTGCAGATGTTTCATACTTTGGGATGTATTTGTACAAAAAAAATTGAGAGTCAACGAATGCGATAGTGATTAGAAAAACCATATGGCTTTATAATTTTGTCCAGCTTTCAAAGAGGGCTTTTTCGATTTTTTTCGTTTTTCTCCGTTCAAACTCAACAAGAGTGGAAGCCGTTTTGAGGGATTATGAAAGTTGACATGCGCACAATAGAGCAAAGTTTCAGACAGATTCATTGACGAGAACAAAAATTACGATTTCTAGAGTGGCTTTATAATTATGTCCAGCACTGTATAGATCCACATCATCCAACACAGAAAGGTATTTTTGCTCGAGAAATGTAATTCGTAATCACCATGTCATATTACCCTTATGGACCAAGTTTGAGAGAAATGCACAATTTGACGGGCTCAATTTTGAGTTAGCCAAATAGCTCCCGCTCTTATTTCAAACAGTAGGACAATGACGTCAGATGATGAACAATGTGAAAGTACGCGGAAGTAAATAAATAATGTTCCTAAATATATTGTAAGAGAAGTGCGAAACACAACACTTAGCGCAAGTTTTCCATGAATTCAGCTCGAGATCATGCAACAAAAAAGTCGCTAAACATGGTATAGCACGCCATTTTGCCGCGCGCGATTTCACGGTTAAAAATGTGTTAACTAAAGAAAGATTAAAAAGTATATCTTGTCAGAGCCAAAACCATTATATTCAGGAACATTATTTAGGACCACTTTAGGTACCATTGCAGAGTAAAACAAGCGCTCATGGATACACGGGGAATAATATAGAAAGAAGAAAGATAAAAGCAATTACTCCAGCACTCCTGGTCAAAGACAGTGATAGCCAGGGCTAGCATGACTAACAAATTTTGAAACAACGCTTACTTAAAAATTTTCAATGTGTTCCGCCATCAGTTGTCATGTGTGCTTATGAGAATTGCTTTTATCTTTCTTCAGCTTTGTAGATATGTGCTCTAGTCATCCCAGAAAGCTTAACGATGTGATAAGTATTCCAAACAGATGCTTATCTTGAGACTAACACGATTAAACTATGTCGGAAGTGTACCCTTCGCCGCAATCCGTCCAGTCAAGAATAGAATGGACTCGGCATGGGGTCTTGTAGATAAATAGTGTACTTCAATAAAGCTGGTACAATGTTTGCAGGAAAAAATTAGTTTCATAGTTCTCATACTTTCTGGCCGTCCTGTAGATGCTTCAAAACTTGACATTTGCTCATTATTCCAATATTCTCAATGCATTAACTCTACTCTCGAGGAATGCTTTTCTTGGTTTTGCGTAAACCACTTGTCAATATGCATCAGGTCAAACATTATGACCTGTTTAGACATGTTTTCTGAGTTGTAATCCGTGTGACTTAGCGGCCAATGTGACTCAAAAGTCTCTAAACCTGGGAACAAAGTACAAGAGAAAGTAAAGCCGTCGAGCAAGTTCGGATAAAGGCAACTTGCATATTCTTTGATTCAAATGGCTTGGCGGCTGGAAGGCAGGGCGTCGTGACTTAACTGAGGCTACGTAGTAATCAGGAAGCACGCGCGAGGGAGAATCATGTAGTAGACGCGGGCAGCTCTAATTAGGTCCCAAAGCCCCGTCATCCAGCCCCAAGCCAGTCGAAGAAAGGTTACTTCAAATTATTCCTTCACTTACACGGCAACCTAAACATATTGGCGAAAGCGATAAACGGTGTTTATTGATTTCAAGCAACCACGGAACCTTTATACTGCGTCTATATTGAATTTCTGGAAACAGTGTTATGTAAGGCAACGGGCATAGTGTCCGCGATTTCGACGCCGCGATTTCATCGCCGAGGAATTCGATGGTTTGGGCGATGGGAACGAGACGACGAAGTCGTCTGTCGCGCATGCATGGGCATAGTGCTCGCGATTTCATATCTTTGCACTCACAGGTTAGGCGCATGCAAACTGAGCAGACTGTTCTCGTGCAATAGGTGTTATTCCACTCACTTCACTCTTATCATTGAGCCCTCATGCCGACCGTGAAGATCGTCTGGAAGCAGGCTGGACTTCGTTTTTGAAGCAAGCAGCAAAGTGGATATCGTTTCTGATG